CAAGCAGTTTGACAAAGCCACCCTGAGAATCTGTGCTGAGTAGTGACCTAACTCTATGAGGGCAAAAGTGATGCAAACTATATATTTGTAGTCTGACAAAAGAAGAGTCCAAGACATTAATCAGTGTTGAGGCTAATCTGTCTGGTTTATAATCTATGGTGTAGGATGTGTCTGATATGATGTGAACATCAGAGAACCCTGCAGAATATATAATTTCAGACAGCACTTCTAGAAAGAGGATGTCTGGACAGGGGTAGGAAATTAAATTTTTAAATAAAAAAAAAATAATTAAATGTTCAATGAATGTGAGTGAAGCAGCAAAGGTAGAAGAGCTACACCACTTAAAACTGACTTCTTACCTGGAGCAGTTCAGAACTCAGAAATATAGTAACTGAACAAAAATATGAGACAATCAGCTGGTACTGATATCAAGGGCAATAACAAGACCCATTTCAATAAAAGAGTTGAAGAGAAGCAAAGGATAAACAAAACGAACCAAGGATGTAAAAACTCTTCCATCTCAAAATATGTCCATCTTTCTTTCAAAGATCCAGACCACAGGGGAGAAGCTTTCACTTTTGGATACTGAACAGTGAAGACAGCATAAGCATTTCAAACGATGTTGCATATAGAGGTAGTGAAATTGAGAATATGTCAGGGCCATCTAGGAAGAAAAGCTTGTCTCCAAAGAATGAGCAGCATCCCCGGTGTGCTTTTGCACAGGCTGAAACTGTCTTCTCATTACCAATGATGTGTCTATTTGTGGTGAGTTTATGCTCTGTGTCTGAGAGTTTAATCATATTACTTCATCCTGTTGCCACTGTTGATCAAATAGGAAGGCTGAACTGAAAGATAAAATTGTTATTTTTAAGTCTACAGAATGTATTTGAAAAAAGTAAAAAAATCATCAGGCCAATCCAAAGAACTATTCCACAAGGAGTATCAGGAGCACCTTGGTATGATAGAGTTGTCATCCAACCATACATGTTCCTTGGTTCCTGTGATGCAGCACCATGAAAGCCTGCAGTAATAGAAGGGGGACCGAAGAAGGGTGAGAGGTGTGCAAAGGCTGATGCCTGTAGTGGAAGAGGGGCAGGAAAGCTCCCATCAGCAGGGAGGACCTTGCAGTATTAGGGAAATCACGCACATGAAGGCAGGGCACAAAGGCAGCCATTGAAGATAGTGAAACACGCTGTTGGCCAGACAGGTAACTCAGCCCATGTAAAGGGCCATCAACTGCACCTGAGATGAGTTAAAGGTTGTAACTGCTGAAAGATGACACCATGAGAGAAAAAGGAGGGCTGATGGAAACACGCACAAAAGCATGTTCTTTGTGTGATGGTAAAGCGAGAAAGGAGTCTGATCTGGTGACTGCTCTGTTCCTGCTAACAACTACCATCCTTCAGCAGAGCCTGACAGTCAAAGATAGTGGTGGGCAACCTCTGCAGCAACACCTGCTCTCACTTACGTGCTGCTCTGCAGGGTTGCACAGCTCTCTCCAGAATGAGCCTGAGTGCAAGAAGACTTCTAGGGCTCCAGGGCTTTTTCCAGTCCTTGATCTCTTGTCCTAGATGACTGCTGAAGAACTCCTGACATTGGTCTGTGGTTACAGTCTTCAAGATTGTCGTTCCAAATGAGAGCTTGCAGATTATACTGAATTAATTTAACCTGTAGAGTCATGTAAATTGGTTATATACTTAATATCCTTTAAAAATTCTTAATAATTTTCCTAAGTGGTCAACACCAAGTACTTGTAAGGAAAATAGAAGAAATCTTCCTAATCCTTGCTAATTAAAAATTTCCATAAGTCATAAAATAGGAGGTTTAATATCCCTTTCTAAATGTATTATATTTCAGATGTTACACAGATAGAAGTAGTAAATAGCAAATCTTCAAATATTATTTCTTTCCTATGTTTTTGATCTCTTTTTCAGTCTTGCCTAGTGTTCAGCCTTCATGGCATACTACAGCAATACTAGCAGTAATGCTGTAGCCCAAGTTTAAAGAAGTAAGTGGGACAAGGCTGGTAAGGAGAGAAAATAGCTTTCATTAGACAAACTGATACTAATTAGATAGTGAATGAAAAATGCATTTCTTTGCCTCACTTCTGATTTTGTCAATTGTTACCACTCTGGGCTTTTGGGCAGTTAAACGAGAAGCACCCCCTGCTTTCTCTACACCCTTCTACATTTTAGGTCATTTTTATGTCTCTTTTCTTGAGTGAACAGCTCTGATTTTTATGGATTTCTTGTGCTCTGAGGCCTTTCTCTTTCTGGGAAATACTGGTCTTTTTGCACAGTATTGTAAGTGAAAAATCAATAATGGTCTGTGAATTGGTAATAGCATAGTTTATTATATGGGTCTTCACTGCAGTCTTTCTGTATTCCAAGAACCTGGTCACTTTTTATCTGACGCCTTGTGTTCATGGACAAGGCCATGAACACAAGGCATCCATATAAATCCCTCACTCACTTAATGGAGATAATGGAGAGCAATTCTATAAGATAAATAAATACTTTAAATATTGCCCTTCTAAACATGAATTGTCTTGTCAGAGTGAAATACAAGTAAATTCTTCTAAAGGATTAATTCAGATACATTTTTGTAATCTGTGAATATTTTTCTCCCTTTCTGTTTTCTTCACTTCGAGATCATCAACAGATACATTAAACATTGGACCAAAACCAGAACTCTGTTACACCCTACTCTTTACTGTCTGTATCGATGAGCATTTACAGGGAAAAAAAAAAACAAAACAAAACACCAAAACAAAACAACCCCAAAATAAACCAAAGGATAGGAAAAGCACTAGATTACTTTCACTGGTTTTCAAGCACAATGAATTGCCCACATTCCAGTGCCAAAAGAGGTGCTACTTACATTGTTCCTTCTTAATAGAATAATTACAATTTTTATTACATGTATTTTTCCAGATCAAAATGAGTCAGTGTTGACATCTAAATTTTCACATTTTTTTCTAAGAGGAGCAGAACAGTTTGTTCTACTGGAGGAGAGGATTTCAAAACTTACAATTTACAAAGCTGCTATACTTTAGTAATAATTAAAGCTACATAAATAGCAATCAGAAATTTAATATGCCACATCATCCTGTAATTATTGTTCACAGGTTTTGCTACTATTTCAGCCTTTGCCTGAAAGTAGATAAATATGTATGATTCTCTCTAACTTCATTTTTTTAGGCGTATTATTTTGAAATTATCTGTGTCTTTCATTAAATGTTAAGGTAATATTTAATTACTGTTTTATTTCTATCAATATAACATAAAGGAAGAACTATTCAATTTTCTCTAATAAGAAGGAAATTAAAAATCAATTTCTAAGCTATCTCATTTTGAAAAGAAATTTTAAAAGCAATGAGACTATTGTTTTGAATTATATAATAAATCATTTCGGTTTAGAGCACACAATAGTCAAGAGCCATTCGTTTAGTAAATTCAGCTCAGTTTTCCAATGCAGCTCACATTTTGTTTGTCCTGACTTTTACTACCTCCACCTTCATTGCTGTGCAATATGAAAATATATGAAGACCTGATATTTCCTACAGCTGCTTGTATTTCTGAGCAGTGATGTTCCCTTCTCCTCCAGTCTAACATCTTAATTGAACCTGTAACGGGTTAGTTGTCCTCCAAGAACAAGCCTCAGTTCAAATTCCTGAGCGCACTGGTGCTGACTACCAGGCACGTCTCTGTGGGGTCTTTTTCCATGGGGGATGCTCTGCCATAGCCTTTTTTCTCCCCCACCACCACAGTCTGAGCCACGCAGTGGGGCAGTGGGCCTCTGACTGTGCTGCCAGAACACCATACAACTAAGTATCTGAAGTTCTCTGCAAATATCCACAAACTCTTGCTTTAGAGGTGATAATATAACATGAGAAATTAAGATTGCAGGTATTTTATAAATGGGTAAACTAAGGACATGAAGGCTAAGTCACTTTCCAAGGGCCATGCATAATAAAGTCTATGAAGTAGAATCACATGGATTAGATTTTACTTCTCCCACTACTCAGTAGTCTTTAACAAACCTTTAACAATTAAGTCTTTAACAGTTAAATCTTTAACAATTTTTTTTTAAAAAAAGAAAAAAGGCATAAATTACAGTGACCATCCCAAAACCACTCAACCTTTCTCAGTTTCCAGAAAGAGGAAACTAGTTTGTTCATTTTCTGATTCACATTTTCTCTCCTTGTCAAAGGAAACAAACCCCAAAACTTTTTTTTTTCCATGTGTAGGATCCCTGAGGATATGGTATCAAGCTTGGTTGGTACTGAAATTCATAACAGGGCAATTGCCTGCTTTACAAGACTTCAGGCAAAAACTGTTGGTTTTAACAAACATACCTTGGTGGGTTTTTTCTACTTCAGTCTGCTGTTGAGATAGGAAAATGTAGGTAGCCCAACCCCCTCTTCTACACTTTTCTGATGCAATTGGTAAGCTCTCAGAGATGCCAATGATATTTGAAATGGTTTGAGCGCCATTTCATCTGAAATGATGTAGCAGTCCCCTCTTGTTTCTCACCTTTGTCATGTACCTCGTGAAATATCTAATGGGCAAGCAGCAATTCAAGGAGCCCTTAGCAGCCACTGAGCTGTTCAATCAGTTTAGCTCTGGAAATAATAAGCCAGAGTCTGATCAGATGTACAAAGAGCTTGTGAGCAGAGTTACATGACTGTAAACTTGGTATGAGAGGAGACCAAGCAAAACAAAACAGATGACAAAGGCACGATTTGCTTGCTATTAACAATGCCTCTGTAACATCACAGGCTATCTCTAAGCTATATTTTCCACTGCATTGCTGGCTTGCAAAACTTTTAATGGAACAAGTTTTTCTGGCAGAAGAACCCTGATTTTTATCTTTAATGAGCAGCCTCTCTATCATTTAGCTTCAGGAAACAGCTTCCTGGTTGTAAACTGCTTGAGAGTGCTGACAGCAAGTCAGCTTCAAAAGCAGCCAGAAGAAACTTTCTCGCTAACTTTGGGAAGGAATTAAAAAATGCTTAAAGGTGCAGATGAGGTTGTTACAGAGCAGGAGGACTCTGCTTCCCGGCATGGAGAAATTATGAGTTGGGATATCAATGACATCAAGCTTCCCCAGGTATGTGTCTGTGTCTTAGAAATTTATCCAGTTATCTCCAATTCTCCACTGATTTTAAATGCTTTCTCAGTCATCTATGCCTCATTGACTTTATTCTCTTTGCCACCTCCAGGTATGGGACAGTGTTTTATTGAAAAGCTAGAAAATATTGAGCAAATATTGAATTTTCCATGTATTTTTCCTTAAATGTATTATTTAAAGAGCTGCTGGTACATGAAAAATAGCAAAGCTGCAGATGTGTTACCTTTCTAGTCCACTGGCTGATGAGGTGCAGAAAAAGCAGGGAAAAAAAATTACCTCCTGCTGTGGGTGCTCAATTAGAGATGTCCAGGACTTTCTTTTGAAGATCAGGCTCCAGGCAAGCAGTCTGGCTTTCCACAGGGAGGCAACACATCTTTCATGAGCACCAAGGAAGTTTGCTTCATATTTGATGAGGGGCAGAATAGTGATCTTTCCCTCCCTCAGTCCTTTCCTAGTCCTCTTATCAAAAAATTTCAACCATGCTCTCCACTGAAAGTCCACAGCACCCTGCACGCCAAAGTCATCTCTGGCCCTCACCTCAGCATATTTGTGCCTGATTCCTCCTTCAGCGACCAGCTCTGCCTTTCACCTCACAATACTGTCTTCTTACCTGATCCCAGTCTCTTCCCTGCTATTCCACTGCTGTTTGCCCAAAGCCTCCATGTCCCAGGCTGCCTTCTTCCCTGCCCTCAACCCCAAGGTCACCTTCACCTGCATTTCAGATTGGAGGCTTCCTCCACACCCTTCCCTATGCTATCCAATAGCTCCTGGGGGAGCACAGGAGTTTTTCTCTTCTCAGCTGATGTTCTTGCTGCTGTAATAGCTCTCAGTGGCTGGGAACAGCAATTTCAAGGAAATTCCTAATAAGTTTTTGTACCCCTACAAGACCTTTACCCTCAAAACCATCAGCAGGTACATTAGGTGCTTTACAGCTTGCTGCATTTTACTGTGTTGACTGTACCCACTGAGGTGATGTGTGTTCAGTCCTTTGCTTTTTTTCCCACTGAGTTTTATTTGTATTGTTCCTTACAGTGTTTTCATTGGTGTTTTGTTTTTTTTTTTTTTTCTTAGACTATAGCAGTGAAAATAAAACCTGACGAGAATGTCAGGTTTCTTTGTTTTGGACTTCAGAAAAATCACATGGAAGTCTTTCATGGCAATTAAGACTAATGAACCAAAGTCCAGAACTAAAGACCTACAAAAGTGGGCATAGTGTCAGTCTGATTCAGTATTTGCCCTTTTTCCAGAGAGTTGAGCCAAATCAAGACAAATGATTCAGTGCAATGCTGCTGTGAACAGCCTGAAAGGCAAAGCAGGATCTCTGACATGAAAGCTAACAGAATTTAGTCAGACAGTAACTGCTGCCTACAGGAAAAGTGTCTGCTGTTTTACATAGGCACCCTATCTCTCTCTCCTGGGAAGGTCCTGCACGGAGCTGGTCATGTGGGTGAGTGAGAACAGCCTCCTGGCCAGGCTTTCCTGATGCTTTGGGGCTCAAACAGCCATGGGGAGCTTGTGGTTTTTCTGCCTTCTCTCCACTGCTCCCTCCTGCTAACCACCATCACCTGCTGGGGTGTTGGAATTACCCAGGCTAGAGGACACCCAGCAGAGGACCAGGTCTGCTGGGCTCTTGCACAAGCTCTTCTCTTCCCCAGACTAAAATGTGTCTTGCTTTGGTCTCTCCACAGGACATAAGACAGATAGACTGGTTTCAAGAATGGCCAGATTCTTATGTAAAACATATCTACAGCTCAGAGGATAAAAATGCTCAGAGGCACCACAGCAGCTGGGCAATGAGAAACACCAATAACCACAACTCTCGCATCTTAAAAAAGTCCTGCCTTGGGGTGGTGGTCTGTGGCAACAACTGCTCGACCTTGGACGGGAGGAAGATCTACTTAAGACCAGCCATATGCGATAAAGCTAGGCAAAAACAACAGCGTGAGTATTAGCATGGCTGTTCATTGTGTGACCGTTCATAAGTGAACAGAACATAAAAGAAATCAAAGTAGAGAATATCCTTTGGATTATCCAGCCTTCCCACTGCCATTTCTTATATTCCAGTGCAACTCTTGATTTTAGAACAATGCACTTTAAATTTCTTACTGTTGGGGGAGGAGTTGTTTGCTTGTTTGTTTGGTTAGGTTTTTTTCTTTTTAAATCTATATTTCTGATGGTTAGAGATTGATACCCAGCCTTCTCAGGTCCATGAGTGATGCTACTGAGAAAGCTGTGCAGTGCAGGCAGCTTCCTGCTGTCCTGTTCCTGCTGACCTGACTGTTGGCTTCATTACTGCATTGACCAAAGAGTAACTCAGGAAGCAAGTCTTTCAGGAAAGAAGTTGCTCATAACCTATTATGACTGGAAAACAGGCCTCATAGTCATGTCACTGGAGCAAGACAAAGCAAATAGTGAACATGAGCTGCACAGACATTTTTAACATGACAATTCCAAAAAATTGTTGATTGCTCAGTAGAGCTAGCACATACTGATTTTTGGATCTGTTTAACATTTTGACTAAAGAAAGCACTGAGATCAGAATTATGTCCTCTAGAAAAATCACACAAGAACACATATGACATTCCATACACTGCCAAGTTAAAAATACCTAAAATTGATATTAAATTATAATAAATTATAAAATTATAATAGAACTATAATAGAAACAAATTTTACCCATTATATTTAATAATGGAACACAATAAAGTCAATTATTAGTTTGCTTATATTGATTTTTGATTACTTTTGAAAAGTTTTTGCATAGTCTTTCTCAGTGTAGTTTCTGAGCCCCAAACCAGAAGCGGCAATCCACCAGCAATGAACCACTGTATCACATGGGATTCATCTGATTGGTGTTGTATAGAAAGTATTTCCCGTCATCTTTGCTCCAGGGAAGTGCTGTCCAAACTGCAATGGACCCCTGCGGCTCCTTTCCTGCCGAGGCCATGGTGGTTACCCAGTTACCAACTTCTGGAGGCATGAAGGCCAATTCATATTTTTTCAGGTTGGTATAAAATTACCTTACATTATGCAAGTTAATTTTAAAGACTGTTTTTAAAGACTGATAAAGGACATTTTTATTCTGACAAATAAGGATCATTGAATATGACAAAGTTAAATGACTACAAAGAGAAAAATTTTCACAATGGGTGGGCAAAGTCCTAAGCAACATAATCTAGCCTAATGAAGTTAGTCCTGCCTGAGCAGGAGGTTGAGCTAGACCTCCAGAGGTCCCTTCCAACCTAAATTAGACTATGCTACTAGGATTCTACAGCATATTTTTCATTTAAGCTCTTGAAAAAAACCCTGCTGATTTTGAAGCACTTTGCCTCAGGTACACAGGAACCAATGAATCCTCAAAAAGTCAGACCTGATGTCTCAACCTCTTCTCCAAGGCACCACGCATAAGCATGAAGCTATCTTAGAGCAGGAAATGGTTGTACCCAAGGGACTGTCTATGGAAAATTCCATGTGTGCATTATATGTAACATATTTGGAAACCAGTGTATGCAAGTGTTTAAATAATGGGTACTATTTCTGGATGCAGTAGTCCTAGATTACTACCATAATCACTGAACTGTCCTGTTTTCCAGTCTTTCATTTATGTGGAGGTTAAATAAAATTAATTCTCTGTGGAAACTAATGGAAATAATGTTCTGATAAACATGTCTAAAGTGGGAGAAGAATGGAAATATCTGCAGGGACACTGTAGCCAGGCTGCAGAAGACCTTGTGGCTTCGGCTGGGGCTCTAGTGTGAGGAGTCTCTTCTGCATGTAAATGTGGTACACTGGTTTTATGATTTCAGAGAATTTGTACACTATCATATGTCATCTGAGATATGTTTGTTACTTGAGCTCATATTAAATAAGTCTTATTAAGTATAAAGCATTAAATCAGGCCATATGTGTGGTTTTGGCCTGTGCTACAAATTCTGCTCCCTTAAGATTAATAACATGGTTGTTTCTAATTTTAATATGTCAAAATTCCTTTCAAAAGTCCAAAGGAGCTCATGACCATCCACGTCCAGAAACAAAACTAGAAGCAGAAGCAAGAAGGTCAGTCCAAAAAGCACAGACAGCCTTTTCTCCATCTTCTCCAAGATTAAAAAGAATCCGTGAGATTGAGGTAACACTTACTATCAATCAATGAAATTGTGGGGTCAATGGGTCAAGGCACAGTGAAGTCTAGCTGGGCTTCTGGTCTAGGTGGGAGCAGGCTTTACATCTCCACATTCTGTCTCCCTGTGATCAGGCCAAGAAGGAGCAGGGCTGTCCTAAGAATCCTGCTCTGCTCAGCAGTGTCACCCATGGCCAGCACCCCCCATCTGGAGCCTCTTTGGGCCTGGTGGCAGAAGGGGATTACATCTATACTGGTAAACAAAACAGGGCTGGAGGGCAGGCTCAGTTGCATCACTATTCACAAGGTCCCTACCATGGATTTGGCCACTGCTAACTTGTGCTTACAGACAAAATGCCCTGGCAAGGGTCAAGAGGTCAGCATGTGCCAGGGACCATTCCCTGGCAGGATTTTGGACAAGGTTGCATCAGGTTTGGGTCCCTTCACTGTACACAGCTGGCTTTGAACCTACCTGTGCCTCTATGTGCCATCATGCTACAAGCCACAGACAATAATAATCTCAAGATGATGCTGTGAAAAATAGCCCTTGGTGGGCTGCAACACAACCCTTGCATCATTTCACTTCAGGTCCAGAGGTCAGGATGTAGTATGGACACTGTCAGGCCATGCCTTTTGGTCCCTGTTACCAACAGCTCTCCTGGGCCTAATTTTATTTAGCAGCAGGGACATAGCTTTAGAGTCCCAGCTCTTTCCTTTTTTAAATGCAAGACTTGTTTTAGAAAAATTTCCCACAAGTTCTTTGTTGGTGCTGCTCCAGAAATTAAATTATTTACAAAGAAATCTGGGAATAAAGTAATTAGATATTTAGTTTAATTAATATTGACATCGAAGGAGAATATTAGAAGGTTTTAATTTGATTTAACATAGTATTGATTGTACCACTCCATGAGAAAATTTTAACAAATGAACACTTGAAAACTGGGAAATAATTTTGGCAATAACTGAACTCAAGAGGAAGATTCGTGTATGTGTGTACACATACACACAAACACACTGTATATTATTTTAATGTAGAATACAATATATAACATTATCTATATGATATACCTATTCTATATTGCATATGGTATCTTGATGAAACAAACTTGTCATTAACAAGGCAAATCCAGAAATCCTCACTCCTTCTTCCTCCAGTCCCCCAACCCTTACTTAAGAAAACCCAGTTACTTCAGTAGCAGGCCTGGATCATTTTATTCAGAGACTTAATGCCCATCAGGGAAAGAGAAGCTCTCCTGCGGGGCAGCTGCTCCTGAGCAAGATTCAGCCACCTGCAGACCCTCAAGGGCTGTGAGGACACCCTCAGGTGCAGGAGGCACTGCCCCACCCTTGGAGAGACAGCAGGAGGTCATGTTTTCTCCATATCAACATGTGTCTTGAGGTCCTTCACTGATATGGAGGAGGTGCCACAGAAAAATGAAGGCACCCTCCACATCTGCTCATCTTTCCTGGGTTTTGTCAGGGTTGGTAAGGTGCATCACCTCTGCCTGGTGTGCCCTGCTTGCTCCCTGGTCTCCAGAAGGGTGTTGAAGATAGAACAGTGCTTTGGAGCACTGACATTCAAACATCATCTCTGCTGGGTGTGGAAACACTTGTGAAAGCTTCTGAAGAGATCCTGTGGACTGCCACATGCCTGATGGAGGGAACTGGGTAGAACAGTGAGGCTGTCTCCAGTGATCTTCCTTGCAAAGGCTGTGTTACATGCAACTGTACACCACTGGTCTTCACATGCAGTTTGTTTTGTGCTAAAGGTGGTGCATCCTCCCCAGCCTGGTGTTTGGGATAGTAACCAGTGCCCCTTCACCTATGGACAAAAAAGTTGGGCTGGGTGGGGACAAACTTCTTAAATGGACAGCATGGGGAAGCAGAGGGATCCAGAAGCTCAAGAAGTAGATCAGAAGAATAAACAGCGGAAGTTAAACCCGTTTGGATGGAATATGAATTTAAGCGCTGCTATTTCTGCTGGAAATACTCAGGAGGACACTAAAAGCCAGAGCTCAGGAGTGACTATCATGAGACCCACTGACTTGGGATGGGACAGTCAGAGAGTACAGGATGGACCGGTGGTGGCCTCCTGACACAAGCATCTGGGAACACAAGCATAAGAAAAATCAGCTGAGCTGCTGTGTAAATATTTAACAAATACAGAAACATTTTCCTATCAGTAGTTTAATTCTGTCCCCATGAACACTAAAATAGTCCTCACCTAGCAAATGTTACTGAGCCAAGTGGCTTTTTTTTCTTTTATACCTGAGCCTGCCTCGTCTTTCTGCATCTTTCTGGTGTTTTCACTGCAAATTGTGTGGGAGTAGGAACAGACCAAAGATGTCATAAATATCTAATTGTAGATCCTGCGCTTCAGTCAATCTGACTCTGTGCAGTTGGAGTCATACCATTTACCCTCATCTGGCTTTAAAGTTCATGGCTCTTCAGCAGGTTTTTCTTTGGAATAACCCATCATATTTGTGTTCTGCCAAGACCAGCTGCGATACAGCTAACTCAGGAGTCTGATTTGACACACAGAAACTGTGTCGCCGAATGTGCAAAACTCGTCTGAAAAGAGTCGGTTTTAATGTGCTCACAAGAAACCAGGGAGGAGAACTTCAGAAAAACATGAGACCAAAATAGAGCAAGTGATACACAGAATGTTTTCTCTACCATGTCAGTGGGTCTTTACCTGAAGGTGGGCTGGGTCCTACATCAAGTTGTTGGAATTTCTTCTCATGGTGAGTGGGGAACATCTGAAAGGAGCTTTTCTGCTCTGACAGTCAGCAAAAATACTATAATTAAATGGATGCAAAACCAGAATTACAAAGAAGAAAGACCTGTAAGTACTCATCAGAAATGATAGCCCGGAATGAATGTTCTGAAAGGAATTAAAATTTGCAAAATTATAATCCAATAATTAGAGCAATTAAGGAAGTTGTGAAATATCCAGAACAAAAGACACTTAGAATAATAATTCTTCTGTGCTGCTCCCTCCCTGAAAGAAATTTCTGTTTGTGGGTTAAAAAATGTAAAGATAGGAAAATTTATCAGTTAGAAGTAGAGTCTTGAAAAGCTGAAGCATAATATTACTGTAGTGAAAATATATCTTCAAAACAATCAGTTTAAAAATACCAGCTTTCCCAAACTCCATAAAAAAAAAAATCTGTGGTGTTAAATGTATTAACATAATTTCATTTTCAGGTGCTTCTTCAGTACATGGTGGCAGCAGACCCCAAGGGCTGTACATGTGAGGTCTAAATTATTTCAGTGTAAAACAGGCTTCGGGCAAAAACTGGTGAAACAAACCCAGACCAATGATCGGGGAGCCTTGTTTGATTTGTCCCTAAAGCCCTCTGGCACTTCTCTACAAGGAGGCTCTGCTACAGTGTCTGCTTCATTACCTGTATTAATTGAATGCATTCGTGAGGATCTCATAGAGGTCAGTTTTTATTTCATGCTGCTAGACTACACCTTGTTTTTCACTAAACCACGCATTGCTTTCAAAGTCTCTGACAGGTGCAGTGCCGAGGACGGAAGCTTTGTCTTTGCTTTTTTCCAAGCCGGATGCTTACATGCTACCTGCTGATTTTGGGGGACATTTAAGCAAAAGTTCCTGGGAACTGATGCTGGGCAGCTGCTCTGGGCAGCCACCATACCCAAGGGCAGCTGGAGAGGATGGGGACTCTGGAGAGGCGCCGACCTGGAGCAGGAGCCCGTCCCTCGGGAGGACGCCCAGCGCCGAGAGGCCTTGCAGTGGCCCTGCCGGCCCTGCGGGTCGTTCCCCCCAGCACTGCGCCCACCCCGGATCCCAGCACATCCTGCCCGGGAAAAAGGGCGGCCATGACACCTTCAGGCCTAATGCTGGCCCTTTGGGGGATGAATCCTGTGAGGAGAAATCCCCCCTGGCTTACGGCGGCAGCTGCCTCCCTCTGCTGCCGGACCCGGCTCCTCAGGGAGGCCCCTGCCCCACAGCGAGCGGGGCACACCACCACCGCCAGCTCTCGGCCCCTCCGACGGGATGTGAAGGAGACATGGGTGAGGGAGGGCACCATGTGGGTCTCAACTATTGCAATGACGACATGTTTTTTAACCTGTACCCATTACGGTGACCGGGTTCAAATGTCCTCTCTCCCCCCTCCTCTGGCAGTGGGCCCAAATGTTGAAATGTAGATCTGAAAATACTACCACACCAGTTCCCTCTTTAGCTCTTCTTGCAGGCCCCAGGAGGGGCTTTCATACCTCTTCAGGCACGGTCAAAGACTTGTCTTTGTTCTTTTTAACTGTTAATATTTTTCCCTACTATTTCATTGCTCTAATAAAATGTATCAGCTCTTCTTACAGACTAGTTCCCTGCCATTCTGGTTTGGTAGCATTTCAATCCACCTTGATACTCAGTTTGTTCAAGCCTGTGGGACTGTGGAAGGTGCAGATGGATGACCTCAAGGACCACAACCATTGTGTGCAACACTCTGCACTCTTCCAGCTTCTTCAGACAGGGATCTAAGTCCCTCCGCTGCACCAGCCCTGCAAATGTGTTGTTTAGAATCATCACAGAATGGTCCAACCCCTTTGCCATGGGCAGGAACATCCTTCACTAGATCATGTTGGTCAAAGCCCCGTCCAATCTAACCCTGAACATTTCCAGGGAGGGGGCATCCACAGCTTCTCTGGGTAACTTATTCCAGTGTCTCACCACCCCTGTAAAAAAATTTCCTCAAGTCCAATTTAAACCTACTCTCAGCTTAAAACCATTGCCCCTTGTCCCATCACTACAGGCCTTGGTAAAAAGTCTTTCTCTGTCTTTCTTGTAAGTCCCTCTCATATATTGAAAGGTCTCCCCCGAACCTGCTCTTCTCCAGGCTGAACAGCCCCAGTTGTCTCAGCCTTTCTTCATAGGAGAGTTGTTCCAACCCCCTGATCTTCATGGCCTCCTCTGCACCTGCTTGAGCAGGTCCATGTCCTTCTTATACTGGGGGCCCCAGAGCTGGACGCAGTACTGCAGGTGGAGTCTCACATGAGCAGAGTGGAGGGGAAGAATCACCTCCCTCAACCTGCTGGCCACATTTCTCCTGATGCAGCCCAGGATACAGTGGAATTTCTGGGCTGCAAGTGCATACTGCTGGCTCATGTCCAGTTTTTCATCCACCAGTATTCTTAAGCCCTTCTCTGCAGGGATGAACCCAGTTTTATACATGTATATATTCACGGTGCCTTGCTGCTTTTTCCAGCCACTTTTCATTTCTTTCATTGCAGATTGTAATGAATCCTTCAGCATCCTTTCTGTGCATTATCCTCTTTTCTGACCACTGCCATATTTCAGCAGGAGCTATCAGTTCCCTATGTTTGTTTAAAAAAATAGGGTGCCAAATAAGAATCTCCTTGTCTGAACATAGTGGCCAAGTCAGGGATCTTTGGCAAAGATTCCTTTTTATCTTTTCCCATAAATTACCTCTGCATGACTTTCTTGCATGACTAGCCTGTGCTGCTCTCTGGACTGCATTTCAGGGGCCACTGGCCCTCACCCCACAGAGGGAGGCACTGACACATGTCCCCACTGCCACATCTGCAAGGAAGAGCTGAGGGATGTTATGTCTGTAGACACATTTCACGGCTGGTTCCTTTAACTGCCATGAAGGTAGACAGCTTCAGCTCCATGGGCTGTCCATCTGGCAGTCCTATCCGTGCCCTTCCCTGCCTGTAGAGCAAGCTGTGCCCCAGCAGTCCAAGGAAAATAAACCTTTTATTGGGATGAGTCTGGGAGGACACTATCATGAAACAAGTGGCAATAAAAACTTCACAGTACCTCAGACTGTGGTGTATCCTGTGTCCATCAAATAGGTTGTTTTATCATTCATCTTTTTTTTTTTCTTGTTTTTGTCTTCTTAGATTCCCTCTCTTTTTAAAAGAATTTAGAATGTATTAGTTACTAGGGAAACCATTCTAATTGTGAAGGGTGGAGTTCAGAAACATTTACAAGACAAGAACAAATCGTATTTATAGAGCGTTTCAAAATGTTTATTGCAATTAGTGAAACAGGGGATGTGTAGTGATTTGTTTTATGTGGAAAAAATCTAAATGGAGATCACAAAATGACAGTCTGCTGTTGTTTGTGGAGGTCAGTTCACCAAACTTTTATTTAGTCTTTGAGTTACTCCCATGCTAATACCAAACTTTCTGTTTTATGATGATTCTTTGGATTGGTAACTTGGAGAAGGAAACTTTGATCAAGGGTAATAACAACGTCCATCTCTAAGACAGAAAAAGGGAAATCAAAAGGAGCTGTAAGTGCTTATGCTTCAGCAGGTAAGCTACAGGACAAGGGTCAGACAGGTCCCCCAGGGCTGCATGTCCCATAGCTGAGATTCCTCTGAGACTGCCAAACCCATCACACCAGTGAGGGACTGCACAGGGCATGGACCCGGCCCACTGCCATCCTGCTTGGTCTCATCTCGCCTCTCCTCTGAATTCCTTACATCTCCACTGCACCACTGCCAGCATTGCCTTTCAGCAAATACCCTACAGATGTACAGCTGAGAGGCTCCTCAGACACTGTTCCCACACCAAAGTACCATCAGTTCCCTCTACACCCACCAACTCCTTCATCTATTTTAAAAAACTTTAAAAACCCCAGCAAAGAGGTTTTGGTAACTGACCCCATAACCTAACCCACAGCTTCATGGTCCCAATCCCAACTGTTAACATTTTTTTCATCTCTGATTTTCTTTCCTGAAAATTAACCATTTCTTCAAATCTTTGAAGATGAGTAGCTTCTAGTTACTGAGTTTCACAGGCTTTCTAAAGGACTATTACTAGCAAACCTCCCTAAAGGAGAGTTAATACCAAATCTGTCTTTCTGCCTGAGAAGCAGGAAGCTTTTTGTTAGTTTGCCTTTAAATCCAAACCAAAAGATTTCCAAAATGAAAACTATTCCTGCAAGCACAGCTCCACTCAGCAGCTACCTGCCATAGCAGGGTTGTACCTTCTTGCAGCTCCCGTGCTCATAATCCTGTTTGTTCACCCAGGACTGCACTGCAGTTTGGGAGGAGCCCCCAGCCCCTGTTCATGCAGCATTCATTGCACTCAGCATGTTTCTGAGAGGAATACCTTTCAGGCTCAAGAAAGACAAATTTCTTTTTAAAAAGGAGGAAACTACTTCATGATTTTTCTAAGGTTAAATGAAGAAAGGCTTTCCAGATTTACAAGCTGACAGGGTTAGTTTGCCCTTTCCATGTTCTTCCAGTGACTTCTGCTCTGGCAGCAACTTCACTTTTGGTACAACCAGCACGGTGGGTCAATATGGTCTCAAATTTATTTCCGTTTGACTCAAAATATGAAGATTCCAATCCCAGCTCTAACCTTTGCAAAAGTTACTTTTTGCAACATATTTGGGATGTGTGAAAAGAAATGTATATAAATCACTGTTTTAAGCCTCATTTAACCAACTTTAAGGTATTGTGCCCAACTGGGTGGTTGTAAGAATCAGAGGTGAAAGATAGTACTAGATGCATTATCTTCTGCAATTTTAAGAAAATATACATAACACTGAGGTTATTCAGGCTAGCTTCATGAAGAAACACTAATTGATATGTGAGGATCCACCCACAGGCAACTCTTAACCTTATTCTCTGCTGTAGAAAATGGTTTTCTGCAAGGCACAGCTGCAGTAAAATATTAGGAAGACAGCAGATGTGCAAAGAGGCCAGGATGTGGATGATTACACAGACAAAATGTTTTGCTCTGCCTTATTGGTGTTTCAGATGGCTGTAGCTACTGCCAAAGCTTATGTAAATATCCTTACATGGCATGGATGGTCTACACTCACTGCTTTCCCAAGGTCTTAGCTCTGAAAGCCGTGCCCTCAATATTTAAGGGGTAATTCTTTGGGAGTAATCCCTGCACTTGCTGCAAAGAAAATATCTTTACATGTAAGGGCTCTTCTGAGGCCATTAGAGAACCACAGCAATATTGTGCAGAAAGATACATTAGCCAGACTGTATCTTAGAGAAACACAGCTTTTATGGATTTTTTTTGACTCATGCAACATTTAAAGATGAAGTCTAGACATATAATCAGAATGAGTTTAATAATACAAGGCAGCAGCTGGAGACCTCCTTTTTTTAGTGTATTTATTCTCAGAATATCTCTGTATTTTTAAATGAAACAAGGTGACAAACTGCTGTTGGTAGAAGGGACCTTATGAGAAAGCTGTAGGGGATACACCCTGAGTAATTCTACAAAGCCTCTTCCTTGTGGCTTTTGGGAGATTTACTAATTCATGTGTCTGGTATTCCCGCAAATTTTGCTCAGCTTCCCCTCAATGTAGTAATTTGGGGCTTTTTAAGTCATTACGGTCGAGGAGTTAGAATGGGACAATCTAATGTGTTTTACTTTATTGCAAGCAAAATGTAGAAGTGGCCCCTGTGGTGGATCTCAGCAGGGATATGGCCTGTCTGTGCCAGGAACAGGTTTTACGTGGCTGGGTAGCAACTGGCATGGGGACCCAGGGGAGGCAGAGGAGGATGGGATGTTGGCACAGTTTATTTAAAATGAAGGAAGTCTGTTGGTGTCAGAGTAAAAATAGATGCAATCAGTAATCAAAGCAGAGCGCGAATAGGTTATTAACACTGCACATCTGAATACCCTAAGCAGTTTGGATCTGGCTCTTGGGCAAGCTATGAAGACCAGCCCTGATTAAATACAGTGACCCTGAGCTACTGGAGTTCCCAGGCACTATGGGGTTTTTGTCTTTCACAAGGTAAACTTCACCAACATTCCTCACCTCCTGGAGCCAGGAGGACTCACCATCAATGCGGGAGAACCAGGCTAGGAAGCACTTAGACAAACCCAACATGGATGCGCCCATGAGTGCTGAAGGACTTGGCAGGTGTCATTGTGAGGTCACTCTCGATAATTTTTGGTGATTGGAATAGTTTACTGAAGACTGGAAGAAAGCAGTGTCACTCCTATCCTCAAGGAGAACAAGAAGAAAGATGTGGGGAACTACAGGCCAGACAGCTTCACCTCAAAATCTCCAGAAGTGATGGAGAAAATCTTCCTGGAAACTTTGCAAACACATGAAAGACTAAAAAGTGTTTTGGAGCAGTCATCATGGATTTATGAAGGGAAAATTGTGCTTAGCCAACCTGATAGCCTTCTACAATGAGATGAGTGGCTTGGTGGATGAGGAGAGAGCAGTGGATGTTTTTTATCTTGACTTTAGCCAGACTTTCAGCACAATCTTCCATAACATCCTCACAGACAAACTGATGAAGTGTGGGCTTGTTAAA